TTTTATTAAAAAGTGTTTACGTATTCTACACTCATGGCGCGCACACACATTAGGATAGGTTAGATGTCTGCCTCTGTTGCAAGTCCCTATCAAGCACCGATTCAACTACTCTCTTCTCCTCCTGCCTGGCTCTTTGGCCAGTATCACTCACCGCAGAGCAAGCCTGTTCTTGATAAATCTGCTGTGAAAACTTGGGAAAAGCCGACGAGGAAGAAGTTGGAGTGAAGCGATCTTCATATAGGCGTAGCAAAATACTTCATCGTTCCGTCTATAGCGCATTGTGATTGGATGGTTTACGCTGTCTATACAGGAGACAATCCAATGCACCACTGGATGCTTGCTGTCCCTGCGTGATGGTCCTTGCCAAAAAAAAAAAAAAAAACATTCTGTCGGCCCCTTCAGTGCGTCGGCCCACTGGGAAAATGACCGGTATGCCCGATTACCAATCCAGCCCTGCCCCTGAGCAGCTATATGAGAGCAAATACAATCATGATAGAGTGGGTCATTTGCATTTCTCAGTTAGAGGTTTACGACAAACAGAGGAGACTGAGGCTAGTTGTCACGTTTTTTTACTCCAGTTAATATTATAATTATCTATACAAGCACATATTTTTTTAAGTTTTAGCTTCAAAAAAGCTATCATACTGTGCTATTTATATTGTGGGGTAAGTTGTCACGATAGGATTAAACAAACTATTATGGTTTTCAGCTAAATTTAAGCAGTAAAAAATTTAAACAAAACAATGAAACATTAAAGATATAAAAGATAACATACAGAAATCTCAAACATTGTTTGACCAACAAAAACTAATAATTAAATAACTTTATATAAATTACGTAACTTTATTACACTTAAAACATATGTCAAGTTGCCCCTGACCTGTACTATACATGTGAAACATTTCGTTCTGGTTCTTAAATCTGACTAGCCAAGCTCGCCTGTATAAGACGGACTACCTGATTACATTTTGAAAAGCTTTTAAATCCCAACAAATGAATTGAATGCATCACAAGAATGTATTAAATACACAGCCAGCAGTTGGAGTTTATTAGCAACATCCTGATATTCAGCTAAGCAATGTGTACCTAATTTCCTGTTTTTCTTGGAAAAATCTTGCAAATTGCAGTAGACGCAGAAATGTCACATGGCATTAGCTGTTCAAGTATGAGCAGACCCCCTGTTGAGTGGATCCCACTGAGATAAGGCCAGCATGCTGTCCTACCACGGCCTCTCAACTCATGTCTGTGTTATGTACGAACACTCAAAACATAAAAAAATAAAAATAAAAACAAACAATTACTAATTGCTTCCTGGGTTGTTAGTCCAGAAATACAGTGCAGCTACAGTCTCACGGCACTGCTGATAAAACAATTTACACTTGCCACACAGAGTTCAGAAATCAAGGGCACTTGCTATTGACTGCCAACTTATGACTGACCCTGCAGTGGAGGTTCAGTGGAGCCATAGGTGCAGCGTACCCACGGTCAACTAAACAAACACGACTTTTGAATACTGTAGTGATTTCATTTAATGATATTATTTGGAAAAAGCTGTAGCTAAATAAATATGCCATGAACCATACTGAGCCATTTCACATTGATTTCCTCTTTGCAGCTGTTTGCAAGGCTTTATGCCAGGGCTGCCCGGTCCTGTTGCTGGAGATCAAACTATTATAGTTAATTATGAAACAAAAAACAACAATGAAACATCAAAGCTGTAAAAGCTGGTAGCATACAGAAATATCAAACCATTGTTTGGCCAACAAAAGCTAATAATTCTAACTTAATATTTAAACTTTATATAATTAACTTTCTTCCCTACCAGAGCCATTTTTTTTAACTTAATGAACTTAAATTTTTTTCTGTTGGCTGCTGCATGCATACTGCATATTCCATGAAAACATAAACAAGTGATGGCATCACAGAATGAGGTAATACAGTTTGTTCTTGCCACCTAAGATGAATGCTTTCCTAAAGCAGATCCAGCCAATATGCAAACTGACTGTGGTTTAGTAAACTGAGAGGCCCAGTGAGGCCTGATATAAAATTATTGTGGTCATGTAGATGAAGAAAGACAACATTGTGTTTCCTGAACGCCTGCTGCCACATGACACACCCATCACAAGATGAAACCCTGTCAGACTTGTAAAGCTTATTCCACTTTTGAGGGGACATGATGCATCCGAAGACATTACAGCTACACAAAAAGGAGTGTCTGCGGCCATCTGATGTGACAAAGACACTTTCTGCAAAAGCTTCTTTGAGAGGCTTTCAAGTCCAAACCCTCAGTGGTCTGGATGAGGGAAAAATGATTATAATGTGCAGAATAAATCAATTTGTATTTTGCTGGAGTGTGGTTATTTCTGAGAGGATGCACTCTCAAAGAAGGGTGGCTTTTTCATTTCATGATGAATTCATTCATTCCACTCAAACAGTCTAGTGCCGCCTGCATGCCTTCTGAGACATTCCTGCCGTTCTTTTTTTGAATTTTATTTCAGAGGGTGAAATATTACAAGCTGCTGATCAACGGTTTGAGAAGCCCGGGTGAAAGAATGAGGGTAGAACTCTAGCTGACAGGAAGCACAATGACATGAAGGCAGCTTACAAAACAGATCATCATCAACACATCAGCGTGACGATCCAGGGGAAACGCATCGCCGCCCCTTTTTTACTCAATCTGTTGACTGTCTGAGGTGGGCGACACGCTGCGTAATAAGCTGCCTCCACACGAAGAGACATTTCAAGTTAGATATGTTCAGGACTCCAAACAAAAAAATAGAGTAAGGAGCCATTGGCTCCTTTAAGAAAAAAATTTTAGGCGCCAAATAATTTTTTTAAGTGCCA